AAAGTCAGCACTACTGGCATTCCTGTTTGAAATATTCTGGCGTGCGAACGCGTGACGTCACCGGTATTTGTATATACATGCACCATAGCTGCCTAGATATATGTCACCCAAACACAGGATAGGGTTACAACGCATCCTTATCCTTTTGTGTGGAGGAACCCCTGAGTGAATCACTCAGGGCGGTTTGCTGGTGCTCTCGCTCACTGCCCCCTTTTCTCCTGTCTCCCGTCCCCCTTCTCCCGTACTCCCCCCCCCCTGTACCCACCTCATTACGGGTTCAATGCACTGTCTACACTACACGACAGTCTACACTACAGCGTGAATATATAGTTACTATAAGAGTACGAATAAGAATACGAGTAAGAAAGTCAAGAGTGTAGTTTGTAGTTGAAGTGTGGTTGTGACGTTGTGTGTATATAGTCTCGCATGTAGTATTATGCGTGCAGTGAATTGCGTGTTGCAGAGAAACATTTGAACGGCATTTACGAAAGTTTTGCCTTAGGAGATAGAGAGGGCCGACGTACACAAACACTTTATATACAGTCTGACCTCCTTTATCCGGCCACGTCAGGACCGGCGGTCCGGCACCCATCCGGATATGGGATTTGGCCGGATAAGAGAGTTATGCAGAAACACAGCATTTCTATGCAGTTCAGTAGGGTTTATGCATGTGATAATGTATTTACTCGTTGCTATGATTATTTGTAACAAACTGTCGTGTTTTATGGTTTATATGAAATGTAAATAAAATGAAATTTTACCGGAGGCATAGCGGACACGAGCGGACAACACACACACACACACACACACACGCAAACACCTGTACGGTTGGTACATCGCGAGAGATTTGAGCGAGATTTTTATGTGGAAATGAATGAACAACAAAGAACATACACTGCGAGAATGCGGCCGGTTATTAGAGATTTCCAGATGACGGATGGCCGGATAAAGGAGGTCGGACTGTACATCGTTTTATGATTGAAACGACCCAAGTGCCTGCGGTCATATCTAGGTAGATTGGACGTGGTGTGTTGCTTTGGTGAGTTGTTGTGTTAGGAGGATTATTATGTGGAGTGTAGGTTGGCAGATGAGATATGTGACGTAACGTATGTGCCGATCGAAGATGTACATCAAATGTTGTGCTCTTTGTTGTTAACAAATATATTACTATATTTCAGGTATAGCAAATAGCGAGAGGCTAACCTTTAGTCCGCGTAATGTATATAAAGAAGGATTTCATCCTACACCTACCGTAAAATATCAGGAACCCAAGAAGCAACTGGCACCTCCAACCTTTAGTAATCGATACTTTGTCACTGGAGTTCTGTCACTACCCTATGCAGAGATCAAAGAACCGTTCACTGCATGGTATGATGCAGCTAATGAAATGAGCAGGATTGACTACTATGGTGGTAAGAATTATATTATTTCTTGCGCTTTTATGAATTAAAAAAAAATCATATATATAATGTGCAAGCCAAATTGTTAATTTTGCATCACTTTGTCGCTATAACCATTGCTTTTAGAATGTCCTTTTCTTTAGAATCCCTTTGAATCATGCCAAGAAGGTATCTCAATTGCTTGAAGTGTATGAACAACTGTCACACTCCGTGTTCGCTATAACGTTCACTTTTCACATTTTAAAGGGGAAATATATCATGCACAAATATCACATAGTGAACGCACGACGTTTAGCTATGACCACGAGTGAGCTAATCGTTTCAATGTTTAGCTCCACCTCGTTTTCTCTTTGTAAATGTAAGACATGGTGCAGACGTACCAGAGGGCAGACGAGAAGTCATACGGCAACAGCTACAAGGTCACGCCGATGACGAACGAGATCGTGAAGAACGTCAAGAGCTGCTTCCGGGTGAACGGGACGGCGAACGCGACCGTCGCTGTACAGAGCATCCTCCCCGACACGACAGGATTCGTCGTACGTACGCGCGCTCGCGCCGCGGCGCGTCGACCTGCTCGCTCGTGGGCGGTCGGATCTCAATTAAAATATATATTATATAATATATATATATATATATATATTATATTATTTATAGAAGTGAGAAGATTGAGATGAGATCATTAGAGTCTTCCGATGTGCGTACGCTGAGAGTAGGGTAGTGCAGTGCAAAAGACCCAGTTGGTCCTGGTTTAGAAAATGTTGGTGACTATTATGTGTAGACTTTGTTAAAATTCATAAAAATTCGCCAGTCCTGCTCAAAGGTGTCTAGTCCTGTATCGAAAATATGGTTTAAAATGAAGGATGAAAGTTAGTAAAAGTGAATATGACCAATATACATATAGGTAGCGAGCCACTGAAGTAGCACCTCGTAAAATTTTCATCACACTTTTGCACTGCCTGTTCATATTCACTTCTGATATTTCACGCGCGCGCATGTATGTTTCGTCCCGAGTGCCCCGCCTCGGATATTTCGTGCCCACACGTATGCTCCGCCCCGCATGCACCTCCCCCCCTCACCCACATGCTGATGCGCTCGTTGTCGCGGCGACAGCATCTGCGGAATGACACGCTCGACGACGACGACTGCGAGGTGTGGCACAATGTGACGGTGGACGGCGGCAAGGTGAACCGCTACACGCTGTGGTTGCGGCGTGACGCGGCGGGGGCGCCCGTGCCGCTGCGATACGAGATGCGTGGCTACGACACGCTGCTCGGCTCGCACTACGATAAGTACGAGATCGCCTACGCCGACTACGACGCGTCGCCGTTCAACCCTGCCGTGTTTGACGTTCCCGCGGGTGAGCAGACTGTGCACCACTCCTCCTCCCTGCGGCGTGTCACTCTCCGAGGGAGGGAGAGAGCGTCGTCGGAAACGTTGGGCGAAGTTACGACTGTCGCGAGTAGTCATTACTGTCGCAAGTAGTTATGATGACATCTATGACTAGTTTTGATGATTACTGTCACAAATAGTTGTGAGTGTCACAGAGTCTAATGTGTCGTGAATTTAATGTCCCGTGGCTGAGCGTCGGACGCCATGTGCTGATATTTTGACGATTCTTTGCGGTATTATTGATGAGCCATCTTACCTTGCTAATATAAAACAAACCGCTTGTCCCTACGATGCCTCTACGCTGAGATAATGAGCGGTGAAAATCTGGTATTTTCGCCGAAAACCCACTCGAGATACGTAGTGGCTGCGACTGTCTCTCGTTCTGGCGATAGCTTCAGGAAACCTCGCGTGTTTCCGTCATTCACTGACAATGAAATTTCTTTTCCTTCTAGTATCTTTTCTCGCATTTCCAGTAATTGACGCAACCATTACTCCACAAAAACGTCTTGTTATTTATCGCCATGGTGATGACCCGCCGCTTATGCTGGATGTAGTAACGCTGTAGTAATAACGTATTCAGTCAGCGCTACACAGCGGTGACCGGAAGCAACATACAGTCCACAAAACGAGAGACAGTCGCAGTAAAACACTTATCTCGAGTCGGTTTTCAGCGAAAATACCAGATTTTCACCGCTCATTATCTCAGCGTAGAGGCATCGTAGGGACATGCGGTTTGTTTTATATTAACAAGGTAGGACAGCTGGTCAATAATACTGAAAAGAATCGTCAAAATAAAACGGGCATTAAAAGTTTATTAATTCGACTAATACTGCAACATGGTTTAAGCATTTCACCGTTGTACGCTCTCCTTCTTTATACGCTCTTGATAATATATATATATAATATTATTATAACTACAGTAACTGTTTACGATTTTGCTCAACCCCTCGTGACCCCGCACTCCGCCGCTCCTCGTTGCGATTATTGGAGCGACCATCGCGCAGTTCTGACGCCATCGTCGTTGTCGTTGTCTATTGCAGGCTTGACGTGTGGAGGGTTTCCCGGTCCCGGCGTCGAGCGGCGCGCGCTCGCAAACCCAATGCGAGAGTACGTCGCCGGGGACGACGCGCACGCGCACGAGTCGTTCACGCAGTACAGGGAGCGCCACGGTCGCCGCTACGACGACGAGCGCGAGCACAAACTAAGGAAGCACGTGTTCAGGAACAACCTCAGGTGAGTGTGTTCACCCAGCGTCATCGGAGGGTTCGCGATCGTGATGAGTGAGGTAGTGGCGTGTGGGGAGCGCGGTGTGGCAGCTGCCGATGTTGGTAGGTGTATGGTGTATGTGGTGTTCCTGGTGTTATCGTGCTTGTATTTCCCGGGTGTTGTTGATGGGATGGCGTATTTTCAGTTTGCTTGCGGTACTTTCCCTTGTTAACCTGTCATTTCACACAATGGCGCATTTCCCAGGTGCTTTCAGTGATGCGACGTTTTTTATTTATATCCAACAATGGTGTATTTCCCCAGCTCTTCCAGGGGTGGCACATTTCTTAGGTATGGGAGTTTATATGTTCTCATAAAGCTTGTGCATCCACATGTGTGGACACTAAATAGGTGTACTGCTCTGCACGTACTGTATCACACGAACTCAAATACTCGTGCCGTGCGTGTGCCGAACGTGTTTCGCTGGGTCTTCGCAACCAGTTTTTTTTTGCCAGGGGCCTATTGTCAGAAACACAATTATTCTTAACATTAGTCTTAACATGAACGTTTTGTCGTAGACCCCGAACCTGTATACACTGCGTATAGGAAACTCACTCTGAGTACTTTCACCTCGTTTCTGTCAATGGTCTATGAGAAAAAGCTAATGTTACAACTAACGTTGAGACTAATTTTATTTCTGACAATGCTCTATGACGTAACGTTAATGTTATGACTAATGTTAAGACCTTCCTCAGGTTCATCCACTCAACAAATCGAGCGAACCTCGGCTACCAGCTGGCCGTCAACCACCTTGCCGATCGCACCGACGACGAGCTGAGGGCCACCAGGGGGCGCCTGACATCGCCGCACCCCAACGGAAAGGCGTTCGATAAGGCCCGGTACAAGGGACAAGCCGTTCCGGACAGCCTCGACTGGCGAATCAATGGTGAGTGGGGTCGCGAGGTCGCAGCGAGCGGGGTCACGAGGTCGCGGTGAGCGGGGTCATGAGGTCACGGCGAGCAGGGTCACGGCGAGCAGGGTCGTGAGGTCGCATAGGGATGAGGTCACGGGTGGATCTGTATGGAGTGGGTCGCGATGTCTAAGCTCGGTGCGTGTGGGCATCGCCCACGCATGTGTAGGCTCGGTGCATGCGTGTGTCCCCCACGCACGTAGATGCAGGCGCGTCCTTATGGCTTGGGTCACGGTGTCTAATGTCGTTGCGTACGCGCGTCTCCCACGCACGGGCGTCCGTACGACCCAGGTCGCGACATCATCCTTGACTTAATTAAACTTCGTCCTAATTACCCTCTCATCTGCACTGTTTACGCTTGCAGGCGCCGTGACACCGGTTAAGGACCAGGCGGTGTGCGGCTCGTGCTGGAGTTTTGGATCGACCGGCGCCATCGAGGGAGCGCTGTTTGTGAAGGTGAGTGTGCCACATGATAATTAACCCTGTTCCCCCATTCACATGATGGTGATCCGATCCCTGGCATCTACTTGTTAGTAACGATCTAGACGATACAGCAACGCAACATACAGTCAGGGTGCAGCGTTGTGGAGCGAATCACTGATTTTTGGGATTCAGAGGTCGGTCCGTGATACGATTTTGTTTCAGGTATTTACAGATCATTCAGAAATATTTATAGACCGGTCAGCAATGCAATTTTAGTTTGGGTATTCGGACGCCGATCAATGACACGATTTCATTTGGGTTCACGCAGACCGGTCAGCTGGTGAGGCTGTCTCAGCAGAACTTGATGGACTGCTCGTGGGGCTACGGCAACAACGCGTGCGACGGTGGTGAGGAGTGGCGATCGTACGAGTGGGCGATGAAGCATGGCGGCATTATGAGCGAGGACGACTACGGAAGCTACATTGGCCAGGTGACCGGACGCGCGCCACACGCTTTGTCAAGGCCGGGCGACCGGACGCGCCATGTGCGGTCAGACACAGTCTAGTGACTAGTGACTGAACTCTCTGTAGTCATGGTCAGGTGACTGAACCTACCATAGGTGTGGTCTAGTGACTGAAACGTGGCAAATGGATTCTGGCTGAATTCTCAGCTAAATCTCCGCTGCATTCACTTAATCGGTTTCATACAAATTTTATGGTGATCAAAATTTTGAACAAGAGCGCATGCACGTGCGGGCACGCACATACACGTGGTCTAGAAAAAATAATTCTTGATCGATTATCTTTCGTTGTCTCTTACAGAATGGCTACTGCTCGTTCAACCCGGCCAAGGTTGCGACCAAGGTGAGCGGCTACGTGAACGTGACGTCGGGTGACCAGGAGGCATTGAAGCTGGCGTTGGTGAATCACGGACCGGTGGCGGTCGGCATCGACGCGTCTCACAAGTCACTCAGCTTCTACGCTAACGGCGTCTACTACGAGCCGGCGTGCGGTAAGTAACGCCACTCGATGAAAGAAACCTCTCCTCTCCACCCATAGATTAAGTTTGTGTGGGCTTATTTGTAAGCCGGTCTATAGAGTATATCTTATGAATAGGTTATAAAAAAAAGCATTAACTTTCATTTATAGTTCATATAGTATATCATATAGTGTATACACTATAAAAACCTTTACTGTGTTGGGAGGGTAAGTGTAAATGGATATAGTTCATGACATATAATTTGTAATATATATATATATATATATATATATATATATGTGATATGTGAAAATCTCTGTCGACTGATCGAGTTAAAGCGGGCAGCGTAAACGGATAATATCTCTAGAGTTGTGCTGTATCTCACAAGCCTCAATCGTTCAGCGAAAACCGCTAAGCACTGTGCCGAAATTAATATAGATAGCGTAAAAAACGGAAAGCGAGTTCAATTAATAGCGGTGGTATTCTTTCGCAGGCAACACATCCGACGATCTTGACCATGCTGTCCTAGCCGTCGGGTATGGGACGTTGAATGGGCAGCCATACTGGCTCATCAAGAACTCTTGGTCCACCTACTGGGGCAACGACGGATACGTGCTCATGAGCCAGAAAGATAACAACTGTGGCGTCGCCACCGACGCCACATTTGTGACTATATAGTAGGCACCTGCTACACACCCTCATGCAGATGCCCAACGAAACAGCAGAACCCTGGTCTATTCGCACAATTAAGTGCACTTTAAACGACTATCGTTATTGAAGGAACTCAAATGATGTAGGCCTATTGATGAAGAAAGATGGAAGCACGATCTGTATTGCTAGAGTGAAACACACTCGTTATAACCAAATGTATCTATAATTTCTCTCAAATTACTGCAATAATTTGAAATGGATGTTTGAATTAGAAAACGTGCATCTGTAATAATTTAATTGAATACAGGTATCTAGTTCTTAAGAGTGGTGACATATGTAAGCCAAGTGCAGTACGGCTGAATAGTTGTAAATTTTTCACTAACATTGTTTGTACTAGGAGTATCTGTGAATATTTGTTGTTGTTTTTGGTCGATTCCTGAAATTGTATATTACTTAATTGTGATGGTGCCTGTTGTGATTTAGTATCTAATACCACCCCCGACTCATAAAATGGCATTCCTGGAATGTTTTGATAATTCTTTTTCAATAAATTTTGAAAAATCAGTAAGCTGCACTTTTTGATTTTTTATGTACCGTACACTAAAGAAATTTCCAATACGTGTGTGTGTGTCAGTGTGTGTCAGTGTGTGGGTTTGTGCGCATATGATTAATTGTTCTTCATATAGTGAATTATCTTGCTATAGATACAAACAAGAGCATATTACGATTCATATGTAAATGTGAAAAAATCTTAATTATATTTTACTGTTCCTAACATGAGAGTATGTTTGTGATATGCCTGCATGTAGCTTTAATTGACCACCAACAGATGGCAGCACTACGGCATCGTAAGGTTTGCTGACTGTTTACATCGGTAACGGCACTCACACTCCTCTTCATAGTTCTGTGTATGTCCTCTTTTACGTTAAACGTCTGTCAGTAAGTATATTCATGTCATCACTAAAGAATCGAAGTAGTGCCTCAGCGCCGGCAGACGAAGCTTCTAAGTCTCTACAGCATGGAACGCCGACGAAAGATTGCGGTCAGGTATACAACGAAGATTCGGGAATTTTCTACTGGCTGTTCATCGTTGACATGACGTTGACGAGAATGCTGGGCATCTGTGCGAAGCCCGAGTCGCCCCTAGGAATGTTCCGACCGGTCATGAAAGCGTTAGAGATCTCCGGTCACGGCGTACCGTGGATAGGCGCTTGTCTAATAGGATTGGCGGTCTCGCATCGACCGGAGATGTACGAGCTCTTGATCAACGTGTTAACTGGTAATTAACTTCACACAATCATAGTTTGGGCTCCTGGCCCTCATTTTCGCAAATCTGGTGGTAGAGACTTATAAACCAACAGGGCTCTTCTTCAGGGTCTTGCTTATATTCATATACTATACTTGCTGGTCAAGACTTCACTGACAGTGACACCTTCTAGCCCGCGTACTGTTCGACTGTTCGTGCTGTTAAATTTCCGCATGCAGCCCCTTCGCTCCCACTACACTACAGGGAGCAGGAGAACTGTAGCGGGAACGAAGGGGCTACACCAGTAGAGCTATATGGCAGCAGCAGCAAATACAATAATGTGACCCAACAGAGTGTGTATAGATACGCTGTGGCTATATATGCCCGGCAGCCGGGCACGGTCTTCGATTTCCTAAATGCCCGGCAGTTCCAAACCCTAACCCTAATCCTAACCCTAACCCTTGTTTACTTGAGATAACGCTGAAAATTAAAAACTGCCGGGCATTTAAGAAATCGAAGACCGTGCCCGGCAGCCTTCAGATATATATGCCGGCTGCCGGGTATATATAGCCACTCTGGTATATATAACCTCTTATCTGTCAGGTTACATGCATTATTGCATCTACAGAAGCAGTAGCGCTGCCAGAGAAGGTCAGATCCTGCCTTTCCGCTTCTGTGGCAGAATGAAGAACTAGCTTTATGTTATATAGATACTACAGCAGCAGCAGCAACAGCAGAAGAGCATATATATATATGTATATATATCTCTATTATCCACTCTTGATATATATGTGTGTATATATTTTTCATATAGACCTCTAGCTCACATAATGCACATGCACTTAATCGCATATTACTTCTTGACTGCAATAGTCTGAATAGAGGTTGTGTATAGGTCTGTTACAATTTTTGCTATGTATCATGCAGTGTATATTGCCATTTTTCAGCCATTGCCATCGATCTGCTGATTGTGAGTACGATCAAGGTGATATGCCGTCGCCGGCGTCCTGCAGAAAACCAGATGGACATGTTTGTGACAGTGTCGATTGACAACTACTCCTTCCCATCTGGACACGCAACGCGTGCTGCCATGATGACCTGTCTTTTCATCCTCAAGACCAATCTAAGTATGTGCATAGAATATTTCACTTTAGGCCATACTTGCATGATTTGCTTATTCTCCTCCTCAAGCACACTCTCTCGTCGTCTTTTTAATTGTACGGGTACTCAAAATCGGTAAAATCGCACGTATGTGGAAACTTGAGTTGTTCACAGTATATAGCTATTTGATATGTAATTATATATTACATGGCTAGTGTAAACGTCGTGGCTCTATAGCAAAGTCGCAGGGGTTTACAGTAGTAAAATATAGGGTTAGGGTTAGGGTATATAACAGCCCTGCGCGATCGCCCCTACGTGAGCGATGTCGGATAAGTCACGTTGACCGTGTCAGTAAACCGTCTACATGCGCTTGCTGTATAATATTCTGTTCGCAGGCTGTTTCTCGGTGGTGTCAGTCGTCGTGTGGGCGACGGCGGTCTGCATCTCTAGAGTGATGCTGGGAAGACATCACGTGTTTGACGTCCTCGCTGGAGCCGTGCTGGGTACGTAATGCATCGCGTGTGCATCGCCGTGGAAACTAGCGATGGAAGAATTCCGTGGCACGCCGCATCAGTTGTAACGTGTCCGCAGTCGTGTGTACTCCACTCGATTCATGACGCTACAATCTAATCTTTTTGTAAACCAACATACACACGTGTAAACATGCACTTTTGCACGTGTACTCACACTGATCTTTGCTCGTTTTGCTATTAGTATTAGTGTTAAGGTGCATTAATGTGAGAAGATTGCCTTTCGTGCTGATGTTACGTCTACATTATATGTTGGGATGCACTGTGGAATCTTATTGTTCGGTTCATTGAATATTATTATTATTATGTATTATTATTGTTATACTTATTGTTATTATTAATATTATTTCACATCGTCGTTCTTTTCTGATAATGTGAGTGATGTCTGCGATTTAATGCCGCTAATCCGCAGGCTGCCTGGAGTATCGGCTGGTTGGAGCTATCTGGATTCAGCAGGAGACCTGCGTGGCCCTCATGCAACCTTTCCAGGCGTCGTTTCACATATAACTCAGAAGACGCGACGAAAGAATTCAAGAAGTCATTCAAGTGGTGCTGCATCACTACTGAACGTGTCAGTAGAGAGATGCATGTGGGTGGCCATCTAGAATGTATCCGACAGTGTTTATCGCGTCTACGAGTATGCGAGAGACAATTAGGAACTAGCTAGTTGTGGCAAACGTGTGTGAAACTGTGGCTGGTAGAAAGCTGTAGATGTTTTAAAGTTATTCGTGGTAGCAGTTAACTCAGGAAAGATGTTGCAGTGTATGGTGTCTATGAGACAAATCTGATATTGTCATCAGGAGTACGCGATCGAGGGAATTCTTAATTAAAATATTTTAGAGAAATTAGGTAATTTAGAGCATCTCTAGTTCATGTACTACTGATAATATATCAGTGCACGAAAGCACGGCCCCACCTGTTGACAATATTATATCGACTTGTAGATGAAAGTGGTCTAATACCGTCGTAAAACAACTGAATACCAATATAGGTATTTTAGTCACAAAGGCTTTTGCTGCATTGGATTTCCTATGAATATCTACAGATCTAGTTAATTGTTTTTAAATATTAATTTTGTATATGACTATATGTAAGTATATCATAGTTGAAATTTGTGAAATTATTATATGGCCAATTCTTTGACGTGTATATATTTATGGTCTTTCTTTTAAGACCGGCTCATATTGTGTGAAAATGTACTGTTATTCAACGTCAGCAGTAATGATGAATCATGGTCAAGACGTGAGTGTGTGCGAACCTGTACAGAGTACAAATACTAATAACTGTGATTTTATTGAAATTATATGTTGAAACATAAATATGTTGATCATCCCATACTGTGTTATATGTATATATAAATGTACTGGTTGCAACTAATGCTGATAGGGTCTACGTCCCCTAGGGTACTATCGGAGGGTACCCTGGGTACGGTTCGATATATCGGAAAGTACCTTGGGGTACTATACGATAGGTCGGTGCGTACCCTGCATTGTCCCACCGTACCCTGACTTTCAGCCAAGTGATGTCGTAATACATACACTCTGTCAAGTTACCACATCACATAGGAGAAACCTCAAAACATCGCAATCCAATACAAATTTATGCTATGTTTGACTATATTTTTCTTTTTCCTTTTTTTAAACGAAGAGCTAGCTTTTATAATTTAGTTTTACAACATCGGAAAAACGTCCGCAGCGCATGCGCGTATTTGACAGTTGGAAATGCGAATACTGAAACGAATATTTGCGGGAACGGACCGGAAACAAGGAACGGGAGCATAAAGCGGTATGTATACGTATTACGACATCAGTTGGCTGAAAGTCAGGGTACGGTGGGACAATGCAGGATACGCAGCGACATATCGTATAGTACCCCGAGGTACTTTCCGATATATCAAACAGTACCCAGGGTACCCTCCGATAGTACCCTGGGGGACGTAGACCCTATCAGCGCAACTAATAGCTATCTATGCATATTGCTTTATAACTCTGAACCTTGAATCATTGTGTAGGTTCCTGTATCCTCTGTCGGTCTCTGTACGTGCATGGCAAACCTAGGCGTTTTTAATATTTACTCTTGACTTCTGGAATGTGTGCTTTTTTTACAGAATAGTTATTTGGACTGGTTTTCAGAACTAGTGTATTGGAGGTTTTTTTTAATTTGTTAAGTTTTTTGCACCAAAAAATCTTATAACATTTCCTGATGTTTGATCATTTTAGCAGTAACCGAATAATAACGAGTAACAACTGCATAACGAAACCAATTTTTTCTAACTGATTCCAATAACATAACGTGTACGGTACACGGATATACCAGGTGATCCTCTTTGGCACCCACAAACTTAGGAATTAAATAGCATCCTCGGGGACATAGCTAGCCAGGGGGGCTAGCTGCCCCCCAGAAAAAAGTCGATACAATACCTAGTCAACGGCGGTCACCTTCCCAGAACACACCATGTATATGGCTTTGCCCCCCCCCCTAGGAAAAATGGGTTAGCTACGCTTCTGACCCTTGTAAAGTACAACTGAGGTACCACAACGACAATTTCATACGGGTACGAAAAAGAAATTACAGGTGGCAGATGAGATTCGTAGAACACGACGCTAGCGCGACCTAGCTTTAACTTGAACTGTAGAGAGAATCGTCACCGGCGTGAAATGCAGTTACCGAAACACCGTAGTGTGTAAAATCGTGATTATCCTGAGATTCGATTCCATTGCCTCACTTGGCATGCGTAGCTTATACGTGCATGCAAACATACACGCGGCAACGTGTTTGTTTATTATAAATAGCACCATGTCACCACATGATTTTTCATATCGATTTGGCTCATGGCAATCGCCTCCACCAGTCTGTCAACATTTGACAGTAGTACATGTGCGACCCTGACATTACGATATGTAAATATATATACACACCAGATAAAATATTTACCCGACATTCTGAAAGGCACTGAAGTGCGCACGATACACAAAAATATAACGATTTTTCACACTTCCAGTAAAATACACTAGTGTACTAGCTGGAATACAAAAATACCCATAATTGCTGAATATATTCAGATTCGTGAAATACAGTCAACATTCAATATTGGAAGTTCATTTAGAGGGCGTTATCCTAAAGGTTAGTGAAAGACAACAGATGCTAAAACTGTATTTCGAATTTCAAGGAGGTACAACTACGTCTTTTCTTTTTGCTCTTCCGAGATAATGTTCATGTTACCCTAAGGAGCGCTACCTTGCGATCGCGCAAAAGCCGTGTATCACTCCCGAGTAGCAATGTTTGCAATTGTTAGCTCGAATAGTAGCTAGAATAGACAAAAGCTCCAAAAAAATAAACTGACTAAAAAGAAAAATTACTAACACCCTAGACATAATCTCATCGATTGCCCATTACATTCTACTCGGCTTCTAAATGTAATGCATATAAGGCAATGTCATGTGGCACAGAAATTATCTAGCCCTGCAAGTGCATACAGCCACCGTGATAATTGTTTTTAAATGGCAATAAGAAATTTTCATAAATTCCATGACATTGCCACCAGGGGGCAGCAATGTCGTACATTGCCACCAGGGGGCCATAATGTCGAACATTGCCACAAGGGGGCCACAATGCCAAACATTGCCACCAGGGGCCAGCAATGTCGTGCATTGCCACCAGGGGCAGCAATGTCGTACATTGCCACCAGGGTGCGTAAAAGGCAATGTCGTAAAAGGACAGCACACAACCTGATGACATTGTTATCACTAGCACAGTCGGCAAGGGACAGTGACGTGAACACAGTCAGGAGACAGCAGCAGACCACCAGAGGGCACTGCTACGAAGAGTACACCCTCCGGGGTGCGATCGTGTCATAAGGCCTCTGCAATGTGCCACCAGATGGCAGTGATATCACAGGAATAGGTCTAATAACACACCACCACCACAAGGTATAGTCACATCACAGCAATACAGTCAACAGGATGCAGTGGCATCAGTATTGCGACACACCCGCAGAGGGCAGTGACGTCACAGGAACGGTCGACAGGGTGCGGTCGTAACAACGGCGACGTAACGGCGGCAGACGGTGGTATCACAGGAATGGTCGCTAGCCTAGAGGCCAACAGGACACGGTGGAATCGCTAGCACTCCACCGACAGAGGGCGACGTTGTCTTAGGACGCACAATTCTCCCGGCTGGTCGCCGCTGCTAGTCTACTCATGGCAATTGCTGCTCTCGTTTCACGACGACGCCATCTCACTGGTCAGCGGCTGGCTAGACGGCGTCTGCTCCTCTAAAACTACGTTTGCACGACTGCTAAAAACAGATGCACGAATTATTACGTTCACTTCTTAGCAACGAAGCTAATAAAATGCATTTTCTAATGGGATGAACACGATTACCATCAGTAATCTTTCGTCATAAAATAGGGAAACGTAATGTTGCTCTGTTAATCACATAAAGTACAAAACTAAAATAGAGCACGTGCTAATTAGTAGCAATAGTATAACATAAAATTGATATTGGTAACAAAATTATGTGACATCGTGCAGCTTTCAGGCGCCAAGGGTGCAAAACGTCACAGTCATTTGCATATTGCAACCCACATGTAAATATAAATATGTGCAGTGTATAGATAAGATTTTAACATGATTAGAATAAGAACAAGTTCATCAGTGTCAAAAAAGGATGACAGAGTAAATGCTAGTAAAGAATGAAGGCATGCCGACTATATATACGCACACAATATCACGTGAGGGTGAACCACCGACATGGATGCTGTTAACCTCACACTTATATTCCTCCTTGGGTAATATATCAACCTATTGCTCCTTTAATAACAGTCCACCAATCTCTTATGGTGGTTAAACACAATTTTCAAAAACGTTCAACGCTTCACTCAACATGGTACAGTTTCAGCCAGTAGGAGAGAACCGTTTCAATAGTTCAGTTCCGCCAACAAAGCTTCAGTGAAATCAGAACTCTGCGCTGGCTTCCATCTTTATTTTCAGGTGAGCGACTTCAACACGTGGCTTCAAAAGTGTTTACATTAATCATGTACTTTCCTAAACGTGCCTCGGCCATTTTACACCCCCTTTTTCTATGACCCAAATAACACAGCTAGACTTTCCGATATCACTTATTCCACTACACCAATACTGCACTGCTCGTGCAACGTATCTCAGCTAAATCGTATTTAGACAGTGCAAACCTCGGTAACACGGCTCGAAACATCGATTCGGCCAAAGCCGAAAATCCGACCGCCGTCCCAATCGTTTCTGCGTCGTCCCGCTCGCTCTTTCGCGCGAACGACGACATTTCTCTACGCGGGCTGCACCATTTCGCGCCGTGCTACGACTCTAGTCTAGTATCTCTCTCTCTCTCTACGTGCAGGCTACGGCAGGACCGCGCCCGCGCGACAAAAGACACCTCCCCCTCCGCTGTGCCCCGCAGTGTGAGAAGACGAAACACAAGCGGCAGAGACTAACAATACGCCCTGTACCACGTCGGCGGCTTGTATTTGAAGTAGTGCTCGTTCGTGTACTGGCAGAGACACACAGTGCCGCACCTCACCCCCCCCCCCGTGCCCCACGGTGCGAGAAGATCAACCACACGTGACTAACAACATGCTTTGTACCACGGTACTGGCTTGTACTTGAAGTAGTGCTCGTTCGTGTACTGGCAGAGACAGAAGCAGGTGGTGCTGTGCAGCGTTGACGTTGCGAGCACCCGGTCGATGTCGCGCGGCGGGAAGCTGAGCAGGTCGCGGCCGAGCGCGCGCAGGTAACGCTGGCTGTAGTCCAACGCCACCTTCTCAGCCTTTATCTGCAAACAACAACAACTGTCAGATAATTATTATCGGTTTCGCGTACATCGGTGGTGAAATACGACAATTTCGGCCACCTTCTCTGCCTTTATCTGCAGACAACGGTCATATAATTATTTTGCAGGTAACGCGCGGTTGGTGGATATCGGTTTAGCGTACGGATGTGTGGGGTGAAAGACAGTCAGTTTTGGCCGAAAAATCAGTTCTGGTCTGGGGTGGTTTAGCGTACTGGTGCGTGGCAGAAAGCCTTCAGTTTCGGCCGAAAAATCAATTGTGGTCCGGGGCTCGTTTACTGAAACAAAAATTAGCAGCACGGCTTCAACGTGCACCGTGGCGAAATGTATCGGAAAAATATATAGGATCTAGAACGTCTCGCCCTTCAAGTACGCACACGAGCGACAACGACGGCTGGCTAGACGGGCGCCCGACGTCGACGAGCATTACCATGTATTTAGGGTTGGAGGCGACGTCGTCCGTCTCGCTGATGATCGCTTCCGTGTCCGGTTCCATGGCGACGGACGACTCACCGATGGCGAGTGCATCGCCGCTGTTGATAATCTCGAGATTCTGGTAGCTGGACGCCGGCTGCTTTTCCTGAAGCCAACATGTTTAACTCAATTTTACATAAATGTCCATTTTTCAAAATTTACACAATGTTTACTCATCACCACAAGTTGAATGATGTGATCGCTCTCTCTCTCGCTCTCTCTCTCTCTCTCTCTCTCTCTCTCTCTCTCTCTCTCTCTCTCTCTCTCTCTCTCTCTCTCTCTCTCGTTCTCTCTCGTTCTCTCTCGTTCTCTCT